GTGCTGCAGTCAGAGCAACAGTACAATGAAGCTTCAGTGTTCTGCTGGAGTCAGGGGTGACTACCAGTGAGAGAGATCCAAGTTTAATCCATCACCAAGTTTGTATATTTTCAGATAAGAGGCAACAGAGAATCTTATGTCAGGTCTCTAGACAGACATTTGGTATGAATTATGAAACACATTTATTTGGTGTGTATTAATGAGATAATGCAGCCATCACCAGGGACAGAGCCCACATATTCTAACAGCAGCAAAAATAACATCTGCATTTCACATTGAATTCAAGCATGGGCCAAAAAACCTTGCTTTCCCTAAAGCATCTATAAACTATCCTCTTTTTTATTATTTATTACCTTAAGTTATATTCGCATTTTTCTATACAGGTTTGAAAGATCCCAGTAGTTTCTTCCACCTGAGGGCTCTACTGTAAGAGACTACAAATCTTATTATGTTATTTTAATGCTCCATTGTGATGCTTTCATGGCACTTGCTCATCTTCTTTGGACTTGTTCAGATCTGTAATGCACACTAAATATGCACTGGATGTGGGGCCTGTTCCCCTGAGGGAGAAAAAAGGCAAGAAAATCAAGCACTTGTGAGAAGAACATGGAGAGGATGATGCAGACTGCCAGGCTTCTCTCTCCTAGGTCTCTTCATAAAGAATGAAGTTTCTTTTGCAGTACATCACAGCCTCACAGTCTGCTACTTTTCATAAAGGCACAGTTTCGTTTCTCTAGCATGTAATCAGCAGCCGTGCTTATGAGAGTCAGATCTAACAGAGAACACCCTTATAAATCAAATTATAGATGCATTAACTCCTCATATAGCTTGGCAGTTAAATAACCTGAATGCAAAACTTTTGCTGAAAACCATATTGTATCTTTACTAGCCCTTCAACCAATCATTTTCAAAGTAACACCCTCGGTTAGCATTTATCTGCAACTACTGAATTACTACTCTTCCTTACTCCATTCATAATACAGTGAGCAGAAACCCAAATTCAGTCCATTGTGGATCCTCAGTGACATTCTCTGAATACAGCACAATCCACCCATCCTCAGCACCAACGATGAGATTGGTACAGGCTGAATTCTGGAGGAAATGCTGCTTTCACAAAGCACTTTGCAGACAACCATGTTACAGGCTTCAAAAGTGGCTGAATATGGACAATCCTCCCCTCTCTTATTACCTTAACTCTGGTCATTCAAATGAGAGGCCAGCTGACCTCAATCAAAAAATTTAAAAAATGTGTTGCCATCATAGAAAAGGCAATTTCTCACCTTTTCTCTGCAAATCCCTAAATCAGGACAAGACTATCCTCACCTTCCTTCTAATGGGTATCTCGCCAACCCTATCACAGAAGAGAAGGATGCAAAGCAGCTCTTCCTCAGCATCCCTCTGGTGTCTAAATGTGAAATCTCCAGCCATGCTTGTAGGTGGCACAGCTTGTAGATGAATGCAAAAAGCTCAAAGCTGGACAGTCAGAATAAAGTCTTACAGCCCATTTGTATAAAATGGCATGGAATAGACTCTTTCCAGAAACAAACATAGAACTACAGGCCCCAAGTTCCTAAATTGGCAGAACCTTTTCTTCCCTATCTATGTTCCTTCAACAAGCCAGTGTACTTTTCATATCTGTCAACACAACCAGTATCAATTTCTTTGGTTGGTTCATTCTGCTACAACTCATGTAATGTAGTATTCCCATATTGTACCAATATGGGATAAGATGTTAGACACTGACAGCATGCCAAGATGAGTGAAAACACCACCTGCAAGGGTGAGTGCAAAAAATTACTTCATTTTTATTGTTGGAAATAAAAGACTTTAGTACAGATGGCACCACAACAAAGCCAACCATAAAGAACTGCTTCAGCATAATGATTTGATGGCATCTAGCACTGAGACAAGCAGACCATAGATGTGTGTCAGGTATTAATTACAGCAAATTTCCAAGGCAGACACTACTTAAATGCACACAACTGTATATTCTTAGCGTTTAGGCTGTCAATTATTAATGACCAAAGGGCTTCACCTTACACATGGCTCATATGGCATTCTGCACAACTGCTTAAGTTGCATAGGAAGGAATAAAGTCAGAAGAGAAACCTGCTGCCTGTCACTGCTACACTCTGCTGAAGCCTCACCACCAGTCCATTTCACTGCCCTTTGCTTGCCTGTCCTTCAGGCAGCTTGTGACAGTCCTGTGACAGCCCATGTGCACAGCAATATTAATTGCTTTCAAGTAGCAGTTTGCCTTATTCTGCAATCTCCTTTAAGATTTTTTTTTAAATTCTTAACTGGCTTTATAATTTTCTTCAAGGATTTTCTCTAGTGAGTAAGAAGCCAAAGACTATACTAAGGACAGGAGGGAATAGGAAAAGTCAGGATTGCCAAATTTAAACACTTTCACACATACTCTATATAGAAAACTGAAAGGTTATGAAAGAAGCCTTGTCCTCTCTACAAGAGATAGGTGTGCATTTATTTACATATGAGAGAAAAATTCAGTCAGCTGAACATAAGGAACATCCAGGTGCTCCTTGTAGTTTCAATTACACACAGAAACAACCCTCAGCTGGCACCACCAGTAGCAGGGTTCTCTTTTCTGCTTTTGCCCTTACTGTACTTGGCAAAGGGAAGGCATTTCAGGCATACACTTTATAACAATACAGCATATTTTATGTTAAACGCTTCTGAACAACTGTTTGAGGTGGCCAGGCAGGTTCTTCTGCTTGTCGTCCCTTTTAATGACCATTTTAAGAGACTTGAAAGATTTCTTGCACTGGTGCAGAGTCAATTGAGGGGAAAAAAATGCACCTCACCAGAAATACCTGTGCTCTGGGGAGGACTTGACAAGCATTGGCCATACTGTACTGATTTGTATTTATACTTGTCTACTTGTACAAACTCTAATTTATATTAAATAGGGATTAAGTGCAGCTGAAGGTTACTGCATAAAACAAGAAACAGATGGATTTGGTTAAAAAGGGCCCAAGTCAAAGGACTATCAGACACAGAAGGAAGTACCACCACTTAATGCCGGGGTCTATTACATCAGTGATGCCTGGATGACCTCAGTTTATGAAGCTCACAGAAATAATGAAAACTCACTGCACACGTGTCAGACCTCTGGGTTTTCTGTGCACACAGCATGTAAGGGTCATTTTCCAAAAGGTTTTCCATTTGGACAATTTGGTACCTTGCGTCTTCTTCCCTGGTAAGGCCTCTACGATCAAGCCAGCTAAACATGCAGGGCCAGGTTATGCCTTGCCCTTCAGCAGACATGCAGTGGGAAAGAGATATCCCTGCCTGAGCTGTACTACTGAAACCAAATATCCTGAACCTGTATATCAGCAGGAAGTGTTAAGGTGTTACCAACTCGGACCCAGCCCCACTGTCCCAACTGTGAACATTTTTTGACTGAGTCATAAAAAAAAAAAAAAAAGAGGGGGGGACTTAAAAAAAATTTTTTTTTGCATTATTTTAATGTTACTACACTACAGAAAAATTAATTTGAATATTAAAATAGCTCTTGGACAAAATCATTTACATTTTATAGAACCTAACAGTATAACTGATTAGAAGTGAAAAAAGCAGGTCAATTCAGCTCCTTACATTTTAAATGCTTTATAGCTTTGCAGAAAGAAAAAAAAAAAGGACGAAAAATGTGGGTGCTGAAGTACTATCACAGTTCTATGCTTTTTTCATCAGTAGTATTCCTATATGTTGATTAATGCTTGGAAATTTATTCACTTAAAGAATTTAACTGCTTTAAGTGTGTCACTTTCTCTCTTCTTAAAAATTCTGATAATTAAGAAGTGAGGAGGGGAGGAGTTGTAGAGACACCAATACCCCTATTTTACTTTTTAAAAAACACAACTTCCTTATAACCCTAATCTGTATACTCAATGACAGCTATTTTATAGGACAAGCATTGCCTGTTTGAGATCAGTCAGGAAGCACTAACATATGATTAGGTGAGAAAATTATTAAATGTCACTATTAGTATCAGCTGATTAAATTTCCCATAATAGAAGGAGTGTTAACTTGGGGGCAAGGAGAAAAAAAAAAAAAAAAAAAAAGAAACAGTGCATCTTTTACAGTAATATCAACGTTCTATCAAGAGACAAAGCCCTCTCTGGTTGGACAAATTTGGGGTGATTATTTTTAAAGCTTTTTT